CCTGTTCTGGAAGGAGGGCAGAGAGCGGGAGGAGGTAGCCAGGCAGGCCTCGGGGATGAGTATCCGTGGCCGTCAGCGTGGACCCAGGGCCGAAGGGGCAACCACTAGAGGAGCAGTTTCTCCTACGATTGTGGAGAAGTGGTGGAGGGACGTATCTGAGTAGGAGCGGGTGTCCCAGCGCGGGGGGCCTCTGCTACACAGCTCCTCGGAAGGAAACAGAAGGTTGCTTCCCCACTGGACTTGGGGTTTTTCAGGAAAGGGGCCTTGCCACTGGCAGGCATGGACTGAGAGGTCTTAGGATGAAATGAGGACCAGCCTGAGGCCTGGGGAGGGTTGAGAGGGAGTGGAGAGCTGATTTCTCAGGACTTCTGGATGCCAGCAAGACGGGATGGGGCAAAGAGCAGACAGAACTTCCTGAGGTCAAATTCTGAGCCCTATCCCTCCGGCTAGACTACCCAGGTCCAGGTGGGAGACCTGGAAAACCTTGCATACACTCTGTAGACCCCTGAATACCAGCTCTGCGTCCTGCCCACCACCTCCCAGTCTCTGCTCTCTGACCACCGTTCTCCTTGGGCTCTGGTTGGAAGAAGCAGACGCAGTTTTAGGGAAAAGAAAGAAAATAAGTGTAAGTTTTAAAAAATCTAGGCCAAAACTATGCAAAAGTGAGTATAAAATTGACAACTCTGTTGTCAGCTTTTACGGTCCGAATGGACATTAAACAAAGGGGCAGATGCCATGTGGGATAGGACCTCAGGTCTCATGGGGCCGTGTGCTCGTTTGGGGGAAGAGAGAGTAGACAGTACAGTGGGGACGGGAGGGCTCCGGGCCTCAGTATTATCATCAGTACAAAAAGTAATATGTATATGTAATATCTAAAAAGAGCATTATCGCCCGGGGCTGGGTGGAGATGAAACAAAATAGTGCAGCAGAAGAGATCTGTGGGCTCTACGGACCGCGCGCATAGAAGGAATTTGAAAGGTGCAATGGCCTCCATTCCTTTGGGCATAGAAATTCCCGGGGAGCTCTGTGCCTTGATGAGGAGCAGGCTTTGGGGCCGATTTGCCCCTGTGGATGGGTGTTTTCTGAGCCTGGGGAGAGGGTGCAGAGGCTGTGCCTTGCTCATCATGTGCATATTCTAAGAGTGCCTGTGGCCTGCCCTCCGCATTCTCCCCGCCCCTTCTGCCAAGCACTGCAAAGTCCATCCGTGCAGAACTCCATTTGAACCAGCATCCCCATGACGGATCCCCCGTCCGTTCTGACTGATTTCGAGGTGCCTGAAGGCCCCCAGGGATATGAAACACAAGCTGTGAGCCAAGGCTTCAGAGCACTGCAGGCAATAGCTGGAGGCTGGGTGTGCCCTGAGCCCCAGGGAAAACAACTGTAGATGGGGTTGGGATGGAGGAAGAGTCTACAGGATTCCCTGAGATACTAGCTGCAGCCAGCCTGGAGGGAGATGGATGCTTACGGGGGAATGGGTAGATCATTCCCAGGCCAGAATGAGAAAAATATTCTGTCCGATAGCCCACTCTTGCTCCTTGAGCCTCACGTGTTGAGCTGCGACCCACCTTTGGGGCAGTCCACCAGGGGCCAGCCACATTCCTCTGGCCAAAGGAGGGGTTGGGTGATGTTCGAGAGGACTGGGGTTCAGTCTGGGGTCAGGAGCAGGGTCAATCTGTGACCAGGATTAAGGGTCGATCTGGAAATTAGGCGCAGGGGTTTGTTTTAGGTCAGGGTGATGGGTCAGACTGAGGTCCGGGGCCAGGGTCAGAAGTCCATGTGAGGTGGAGGAAGGAATGTCCTCTGATGGAATCTGACTGGTGAAGATGATTGCTGACCCTTCTCTGTCCTGGCCCCTCCTGGCGAGCCTGCTCCACAGACCCAGCATTCCTACTTTCCCCAGCATCTCCGGCATGTCTTAGAAAATTATACCACCATGGCTTTTCTTCTCTTTTGTCCTAAGTGGTTTTTGGGATTTGAGCAAAGAGATGGTTCCAATTAGGAAATCCAGCAACTATTGCTGTGGGGCTGGGCTGTCCCTGTGGACATTCCCCAGGACCCCACTTGGTGGCTGAGCAAAAAGGACTCAGAATGACTTCCCCATGCCCCCTCCCAACTCCCACTCTGTGGCCTCCGAACAGGAGGAGAGGAGGAAAGTGCACCAAAGCCATCTCCGGGAGTATGGGCAGGGAAGGGGAACACAATGACTCCTGGGGCTGTGATCTCCGCAGAGTAGACGCTCTTGTGGACTTTTGAGGTTGGTGGCTGGGAAGTGGGTGTTGTGTGAATTTGTTGGCGATGATTCTCTGAGTGCATGTGCCTTCCTACGTATGTGTGCGTGCTCACTATTTGCCTGTGCATCTGTTTGTAGCTCAATAAGGCTGTGTGTCCATCGTTTACAGATGCGTGTGTATCTATCCTTTCAGAGACGGATGTCTCTGTGGGTGGGTTCCCCAAGGTCATCTTGCCCATTTCACCACCTTGGGGCCAGTGCTGTGTCTGGGGGTCGGGGCTGGATTCTTAGGACTCTTCAAAGTAATGGGGCCTCAACAATCCCCTCCAGCCCCATTCTCACCCAGCTTCAACCCCAAGTGGGGAGCGGCGTGGCGCCGGTCTCACCCCTCGCGGGCACCCGGTCCCATTGACTGTCCTGTGAGACCTCCCTATTGTGAGGGTGTGCCCCAGCTTTGTATTTCTGGGGCCACGGTAGTCCTGACAGGAACTTTGTGACTCCCCGGGCCCCAAGCTGCCTGGAGTGGAAATGTGAGGGCACTGGGGCAGGAGAGGAGCCCTGTGGGAGCCGGCATGCCCGCCCTTTAGGGCTGATCTCCCACTGCGAAGGGAGATTGAGGGCGGGAGGCACAGGAATTGCTTCCCCCTGCATCTGTAGTACTCCAACTGTCCACCAGGTGGGGTTCCAAGGCAGAGAGTGAGAGTCAAGATGACAGCTCTAGAAGCAAGAGACCACAGCTTTCAAATCTCCGCCGCCACTTCAACCTCTGAAGCGCTCATACAGGGAGGGACAGCACATATGCTCGCACCTTAGACGCTCACACACATTCTCTTCTAGTGAACTCTAAAATAGAACACGTACTGGGTGCAGGGGAGGTGTTAAAAGGGGAGTCTAGTTTCGTTTACACACACACCGCCCTAAAATGAAGGTGGGATATCAAGTCTTCGGCTCCGGGAGTGTGAGAGAGCGAAAGACAGAGACAAGGGGGCTGGGGGGAAAAGGACCTACGGGAGAGGGCGAGCCAGGCACTAGCTAGATGATGCCGGGCTTGGCACGCGGAGCTCCATGTATCACAGACACGCAGGAGGAGAGGCCAGATGCCAGACGGATGCACGGATGCACAGACACACAGTTAGCTCCCGAGAGAACACACAAACCCGCAGACACACCGCCCAGCTCCTCAGATGTCGGGCCGACCCAAGGACACACGCGCGCACACACAGGTGCGGCCCCGGGCCACACGCACACCTCGCACAGGCACGCGCGCCGGGCCCTCTGCGGCCGGCTCCGAGAAGGTGGCCGCGCTCACCCAGCATGTTTATTTACTCATTTGTATCAATGAACGTTTGTGCCCGATTCCTCCCGCCTCCGGGTGCCGGGGCTGCCGCGTTTGTCCTCAGCGCGGGACCCTCACCGGGACCAGCACTGGGGTTCCTCCGACGCTGCGGGGGGCGGGGGGACTACATAGTTAGGGGGTCCGAGAGGAAAGGCTGCAGCGTGAGCCGCCCTGGATGCGGACGGGGAGAGGGGGACATAGGAGTCTTGGAGGATGAGAGACATCTGCGCGGGGGAGAGGGGGCAGTGGTGGCGGACAGACCTTGGCATCTGAGGTTTGGGGATGCCCGGATCCGGGATAGGGGACCCCGACTAGGGGGAATTGGGAAGGGCAAATTGGGAGGGTTGAGGGGTCCCGGGAGATAGGAGCCGGCGGGGTTCCGCGGGATTGGAGCTTGGGACCCCAAGCACAGGTCCAGGGGCTTTAGGTGGCCCTCAGTCGAGGGGCAGTCTGGCGGAGACCTCAGCCGCTGGGGCGACGGCCCACACGGGACTGCCCGGGGCGGGAGGAGGGGGCCGGGGACCGGGAGGGAGGAAAGGAGGGAGGGAAGTAGCCTAGCAGCCAAGCGGGCACTGTGCGAGCGCGCACCGTGTGTGTGTGTGTGTGTGTGTGTGTGTGTGTGTGTGTGTCCTCTCGTCCGTCTGTAGGTGCCGAGCTCAGCGAGACGCCGGCGAGAAGGAAGAGGAGGCGAGAGGTGAACTGAGTTTGATCCTGCGGCGGCT